GCAACCTGCATAGCTTCCCCTTCCCCGGGCTAAAAGATGGAGTCAAGGTCTGGGCGGTTCTTTGGGGCTGGGGTCTTCTGTCAGGACCTGCATTCAATTCCAACCATATCCATCCCCAGGCTTTGCCTAGAACAGCAGCAAACTGAATTCTTTTCTCCTAGTTGGTTTCATTCGGTGAAGCAGCATTCACGCACTCCTGGATGTGCTCCGTTACTGCAGCAGGATTGCACTGAGCTTTGAATTTGGATCAGCATTTAAAGAGTGCAGACTTCATTAAGAAGTGTCTCCATTGGCAATAATTGCTGAAATTAAATCAGCTTTTTTTTTTTTTCCTTAAGCTAGTATATGTTCCATATTTCCTTAATACTAGTAATGGAGTGGTGGTCATAGCATTTGTCAGCTGGATTCCATTTGATGGCAGATGGTCACTTCTTCCAGTGCTATTGTAGAAGACTGTGTGGGGATCTGATAAATGTTTTTACATATCTAAAGGGAGGTGGGAGGGAAATAGATGAAACCAGGCTCTTCTTGATGGTGCATAGCGATAGGACAAGGAGCAATGGCCTGAAACTTGAACGTACAACATTCCATGCAAACTGCAGAAATACTTCTTTACAGTAACAGCGATGGAGCGCTGGAACAGAGCGGTTGTGGAGTCTCCTTCTATGGAGATATTCAAGACCCATTTAGACACCAACCTGTGCAACCTGTTGTAAGGAACCTGCTTTAGCAGAGGGTTGGACTCAGTGGTTTCTTGAGGTCCCTTCCAGCCCCTGCCTTTCTGTGATTCAGTGGAAATTTAATTTCTAAAAGACTCTTGAGCATATGTATTCTTCCCATCTCTAAAGGGAACCATTAAAGCATCTCCTTTCAAGTATCTTTTCAGTGAGATTTCATGATGATTATAATGTTAAATGGAACGCTTGGCTTCAACAAACCAGCATCTCTGGGCTGTGAAAACATTACCTGGGAGGTGAGGAGACTCCTTCCCTTTGTTAGTAGGTCTGTTGGCTGCTATCGCAGTTGGTTTCCTAATCCATATGAATGAGCAAATATTCACCACTGCTAAGGACAGAGTGCTTCTAAGTTTTATCTCCAGAGAGCAAGTGGTGGCTGACAGTGACACACTTGGTACGCTCTGTACCGTTTGTTTACAGATCTACATGTAGTTTCCACCCACCAGAACTAATTGCTTTTATCAACACCAGTAATTAGAAATGCCAAAGAGGCATCAAATTTCCTAACTTAGCACAGTATAAAACTGTGCATGGCAGTGTGCTGTGACAGGTTGGACTGCGGAAGGCAGGGATTGGGGGAAAGATTGTAGTCAGAGGGCTTGTTGGTACAGAGAACTGATAATTGGAGCTTCCTGCTGCAGCTGTGGGGAAATAGTGTAGATCTCTCTCTGAATTCTCTTGGTCATTTTCTTTAGAATGCTGTGAAAACACAGTGGGATTTGTAGGGCCAGGCTGCTTTTGGGGAGCCTTTTGTTGAGAAAGTTTTCTCAAATAATGGCACGACAGAGCAGAACTGCTGTCTGATGCAAGTAGAGCAATTGGATTGCTGGGACAGACGGGTAAAAGGAGAGAGCTCCAGCACAAAGCAGCTCTTTGAATCTAAATAAGCCTTTGAATCTATATCTCCCACAGCATTTTTATCACCAGGGTATTCAGGTGTTGTCAAAGAGGTGTGTCTGTCAGCCTGTTCCATCCTAAAATAGGGTCCTGTCGCATTATAAAGCGTATTGGAAAGCTGGAATGCGCATCCTGCTTTCAGGCTGAAGGTTCAAGCTTCCTACCTCAGTGCCAGACAGGTTTCTGCATCATTCGTGATAGGTAATAGTGGAAATCAATTTCTGACTAAGCTCTAAATAATTGCTGCCAGAATGCCATCGTGGTGCTGATGAGTATTTACCCAACAGAAGAAAAACAGCATGTTGATTCTCGAGCCACAGAAAGCCGTAATTGTCATTTAAAATCTGGCATGTTTAAAATACTAAATTCATTATCTTTCAGAATCTTTAGATGTATAATTATAAACTATCACTCTGAATACATTTGCAAGGGTAAAGAAATAGGCGTTGTTTCTTTCTGACAAGAGATGAGGCTGTTGACTTGCTCCATTTTTAAGATCTTCCCTAACCCAGATACCCGAGGCCCAAGCAGAAAGCAACACTTCCTACCTGCGCAGAAAGTAAAGCCTGCTCAGTTTCAGAGCTATTTATTCCCATTAGTTACTCCCAAAGTTATAATTTTGAGATTGCAACGCTTGAATTGTGTATGTTGCTCACACAATAACCAACGTTCCTGCCTCTCCTCTTTGACCGTAACAAGTTGTCTTTCTTTTTTTCTTAAGGTGTCGGGATAAAAAGCCAACAGAATATTAAAATTTCTCAGTTCCAGGGGTGCCAAGCTGCTATCGAGGGCTGTGACAGGGTGTACGTTTTCAGAAGTATTGAAAGGAGGGGGGAAAAATTCAAGCTTTGACATTAAGGAGATGATAACAGCCATTGGCTCTTGTTCAGTAACTGCCAGCCCTGAATTTCAGCACTGCGAAAATCCGACTTTCACTAACTTGGATGGGAAGGGATCTGACTTAGATTGTGCTGTGCTCTGACCTGGCTGTTCTTATGTGCAGTTATTTGCTGGAAGAATTTAGACAAAAATAATAATCCCAGAGTTTGGTTTTAAGAGCAGAGAATCTGTGGTAGGCAGGTAAATCACAGACAGATCCAGATCCTGGAATTAGCACTGCCCTTGGGTGCTTTCTGTACGTAAGGAGAGCTCTTGAAAATCCAGAGCTGTGAAAGCTTGAGAGCCTGAGGGATCTATCTGGTGTAATGAAATGAGGATCTCAATGTGAAGTATTCTGCCAGTAGGATGGGAGAAAAAAAACAGATGTTGAAACCACTCAACAAAGAGTGCTGTGGCTTCCTTTTGTCATGCTTTAAATAGTGAGAGAAACATGCAAGGCATTATCAAAAATTGGAGAGTGATAGAATCAGTTTCACATCATTTCTTCCAGTTGCAAGTGGAGAGCAAGAAGCAATGGCCTGTCCAAGCCCAGTGGTTTGGTGCATCTGTTCAGTCACTCCTTGTTCCCATCCTGCTCGCCTGCCTTTGCTTTATTGCAAGGCAAGTTATTACTTAGATAACACTCCTGTTTCCTGGAGTAATAGTGTTTTGGACTTCAGCTGGCTATCACCCTAAAGATCAACAAAGCTTGGTTTTCATAATTGCAAGCTCTGGTGTGTTTGGACAGCTGAGGCATCTTTTATATCTTGGATGTCTGGAGTATTATTTGTCAGCAACACCAGGAATGTACAGACTGGGCGTCAAGATTAGACAGGGAGCGCTACAAATGAGAAACATGACAAGAATGTGGCCAGGTGCTGTTAGCATGTGTCCGCAGGCATCCCCATATGTGCTGGGCTGGAAACTGCATTTCAGCATCATTGCTATTGATTACAGATTTTGTGCTAGGTGCCTTTGGGCCTCAAGTTAATTCATCTCACACTTACTTTGAGATGATCTAGCTAAGTGCCAGGGAGCATCATATGTGTTGTTTGTGCGTTCATCATACAACCTGTGCCATAATATTAGTCTTTGCTGTAAAAGAAACTCTTCCGAACTTCTGGTGTATATGATGGGTTTCGTAGAAAGGGAATTGAGCTGAAATAGTACTACAGTAAAATGCTTGATCACTAAGGAGAGGAGATGTAATGATTTTGGACAGCAGCTGTCACGGTTAAGAAAGTTATTTGTTCCATTGGTTTATAGCACAGACCAGTAGTATTTTATTGTCAAACAGAATTAGTTTTATATCAAGAAGAGTGATTACTTGGGTTCACTGTGTTTGAGATTAAACTTGATGATTTCATGTCCATTATTGATCTAGGCTTTACATTCAGAGAAGTAGTGGTTTATATTTTACTTAAGGGGATTTGATCACAGTAGATGTAATCTTCAATGGTTTCTGCAAATAAATTAGTAAAGTTGCAATGCCTCTTACAGTATCTGAAGGAGAAAAGTGAAAGCGAATAAAAAACACGTCACCTCAGTGAGTCTAGTGCCAAAAGGCCTAAAAAAATGGCAGAAATACTTCTTACCTTTTCCTGCGTAGAGGGGGCATTCTATCTAGTACATGAGCATGGCATGCACACAAATGGGAACCTTACAGAACACAGCCTGTCAATGGCACACTGACACCTCCAGCTTGGATGGGCGTTTGACAAAGGGATACCAGAACTTGCTGCACATCATCTCCTCTGATTTATCCTGAGATTACACCAGAAGAGAGAGGGACAGCCAAAGTGCTTTCTAGCATTAGAACAGGGTCAATGAAGCACCAAATGTGGGCTGCCTCCGTAGGAGGGAAATGTGTAAATGTATATAATACGACCCTAAAAATAGTCCTTTTCAGAATATCTTAAATCAGGTCGTTGGAACATGCCAAGCAGTGCAGCCTGAGATGGCTCTGCCTTTGGGAAACCTGTAGCTAAGAGAAGACAGGTGGTTGTGGCACCTAGAGCTCTGCTCTGCTGGGCAGTAGTGTGTGGCTATAAGGGAGGGAGAGAGAATTTCATGGAAGGCACTGAAAGCTGGCTGTGTCATCTTGAGAGCAGCGCAGCATTCCCCAGGAGATAGGTGGTATGGGATGTTGGTACCTTCACTGTGAGCTGTGGGAGCAGAAACAAGTCCTGCTGGTGTTATTTACAGCTGTCCCATTCAGGCCATCATGATCCCTACCTTCAAAATGCAACACTTTGTTTGTGCTCCCTGCATTCTCTACAGTGTCTTTGATTCTTTAGGGAATCAATGGTGTACAGATCTGCCCTCTCTATCATACCTCTGTGTCAAGTGTGTGATCTCATTCTTCATGCACCGTCCCTTGCTGCATGGCAGAGCATGTTTCTGTGTGACTGAAAAGTTCAACATCTGTTTAATTGCTTACCTAAGGTAATGCTCACATTTTGTTCATTTTGCTCAGGGTGCAGCTACAACAGAGCAGTGCTTAGGTGTCACCTATCCCTGATCCACCCTTCCTCAGCTCCATGCCAGAGGAACAGGTACGTAGCTTGCTCTGAAAGTAGTGCCTCCTACTTATTTCCACAGGCATGCATGCCACGTTCATAAAAATCTATGCAGCCATCTGGAACGTGGCATCTTTCACATCGCTATCTCTGCTGCTGCAACACACCACCCACTGCCTCACAGTGCTCACATCCACTGTTTGGTCTCCGTAAACATTCAGTAGGTGTCAGTGGGTGCCATTTCTTAAGCATGGAGGAATTTGGTGATACTTCTTTGCTTCATACACACGTCCATTTGACATGCCACTTTGTCAGACTGCCTCTGGTGAGTCCAGAAGTGAAAACAGTATTCCAGGTTTAGTCTTAACAGTGCTGAGTAGCTTTTCCTGGCCTTGAAAGGATGTATGTAGACCAAAGGAAAGAGAAAAGAGAAGGAGAAAGCAGGTGCATGGTTTTAAAACTAATTGGATGGGTTCGATGTGATGGGAGTTAAAAAGATGTTGCCTGAGGCATTACGATTATTATTTTTTACTAATTTGGGGATTTGTTTTTCATTTTAGTTTCTCTGCTCAGTGAACTGGTTCATATTTAATAGCTCACTAAGTTATGACTACAGTCGAAATGACAGAGCATGTGTTTTCTAATTTAGGAATAAAGAGAAGTGCCCCTTTCTGCAGGAAAGAGGAAAAAAGCTCACATTGGACCAAGTCCTTCTCAGCAAAGGTGGCAAAGTCAGTGGCAGGTTATCTGTCCTTGTGGCTCCCATAAGCTTCTCTTGGTGCATGCACTGCTTAAGCATAAAAAACTGCAAATGTGACCGAATGGTGCTGCCAGACTGTGAGGTTAGGGTTGTAAATCATTGATGGCACTTGGAGAATGCTACCCACTGGAACTGGGGAGCACAAGCCCTGTTAGCTTTCAGGATGATCTAAGCTTATGCCTACCTAAAAGGTTTGTTAAAGGCATTTGAATTCTATAAGGGATGTCAGAAAGGATGTAAATACCAAAGAGTACTTCAGAATCCCAGCAGCTTTTTAAAGAGGGCTCAGCCTGGGCCAGAGTCGGCTGTCAGCACTGCTGAGCAGTGCTCTGGTATCTGCTGTTTCTTTCCCACCTGTGTGCTCTTCTTTCCCTTTGAACAGTTAGAACACCTATTGCTGCCTTCTTTCTCTCTGGTCTGCACCAGTGTAGGAAGGCAGCTACAGCATTTTTACTTGATGGGATGTGGGGGAGGAGGGAAGGGAAGGGGAGGTTGTTTGTTTGTGCTTTGGTTTAACTTTAGTGTTGTGGTGTGTTGTGTTGGTATTTTTTTGTTAACATTTTGAATGTGTCCATACTTAAAAAATGGCAGAAAATAAAAGCAGGAGACAGCCCCACACAGCTGTATGTCTCCCAGCATGGCCCCAGTTACCAGCTTCTGGCAAGTCAAGGGAACTAGCTGCTTTACAAACTCTATTATATTGACAAATGCATGCTTCCATTATTCAGACTGCTGGAACACACAGTGCTTACTAGCATTTCCTTCAAAAATACCATACATCCTCATGAGTTACAATGACCAAGAGCCTAACAAAGTAAGCCATTGTAAAGAAACATAGCCCAGTCCAATAATAGCTGAACATACAGCAAAATCCTTGCTTTGATCCTTGTTTGCCTTCGGAAATACTATGTCAAGTGTCTTTATTTAAATGAAGCTTAGTTTAAAGTAGAAGCAGTTGTTTCAGGAATGCCATAGTGGCTCCTGGGTGTATAATTTCTTTTCCTATTAAGAAAATGGTTGACTGATTTATTCTTTGTTACTCAAGTGCAAAATCCTTACCAGTACATTGAGCTTTTGAATTTACTGTAAACATTTTCTTCCTCCTCCCCTGCTGTCCCTGTCTGGATTCTGATGCACCATATATCTTCACCTGTGTGCAGGAAAGTCACCCTAAGGAAGCATGTCTCTGTTCTACTTTGGACAGGGTCCAGAAGGTGGTGCAGTTGCATGGCTTACAGCATGGCAGTCATCAGCATCTTCCTCTTTGAGAAGTAATTGGGAATGCTGAAATGACTCCTTACATCCTCACCATGATCAGGTATCCTGCCAACTTTCCTTTCTCAATGTATTTTCTGCTTGTGTTGCAAATAGAAAGAAAGACAGCAAGAATAAAAAGAACTCTTTCCAAAGTAGGGAATGCCCTTAGAAACTTTGGCTTTTACTAAACCTTATCTAAAGGAATGCAGCTTTTGTGGGGCTGCAAATTAAATCCCTTTAGTTATTTGCTCAGCTTCTTCTGGCACAAGCCCTAAAAGCCTGAAATCCTTTTCTAATCTATATTTTGGTGATGCATGCTTTGGTCCTTTTACAGCAAAGTTAGATTGCAAAGTTAAAATGAGGCATTAGAGATGGCTGAAAGCCAGAAAAGGAGTTCTGCACTGGGCTAGAACTAATATGAATCAATGTAGGCACGACACACCATATTTACAACTACATCAGACAGAGGAGCCACTTTTATTTCCAGTAACCACGTAAGCTTGTACCTACACAGGTGTATATACTTCCATGTTTTTATATTAGGGAGCATTTGTTGTATTAAACCACAGCCAGTGTTTGTGGTATTGACCAGACATTCTGCCTGTTGGTCTAACAGAGCTGTTACTGCAGACATCCACGCTGTAGGTTTTCTCAACGATTGCTGTACCATCTTATTGTGCTTGTGGACTTTAACAGGATGTCAGCATAGGTGGCAAATTACTGTGAGCTGATGTAGCAGACCTCAAGGCAGACCTTTCTTCAAAGAAGGCTGAATTGCTCTGAGCCCTGCGTTGTCAAAAAGTCCCTTTGCTAACTTGCTGGATAACACAACATAGTGGCCATTGCCTTTATGCCACAGGATGTTAAAAGAACATCAGTAGAAGCCCTCTCTGGCAAAGACCAAGAAACAAGCTGAGAGCTGGGTGAGCTCTCTGATTTCTCCCACTCCTGCTGAGCCCTTTCTCTTACTCTCCAGAGGCTGCAGGTGCTCCTGCTTCCTGCTTGTGCAGTCCTCTTCCATTTCTCTGGAGGCAGATACCTGTAACACCTCAGGACAGGAGCAGTGCCAATGTCTTATTACTCTTAAATGCAAAAAAAGCTACTGAAAATAGCCTTTTGTGCTTGCTGCAGAGTGGGTGGGGACTCCAGCTGACCCATCTTATTTGGTAGCTGATCTCAATGGAAAGCTCCCAATTAACATCATCTGTCTTTGGTTAAAGTTCTTTAATTTTGTCTATTTTTTTAATATCCTGCTCTATCCCAGCCTCTTTGGTCCTTGCTTCACTCCTCCAGAAAAAAGCTTCCTATAACCTGTCTTCATAAATCAGGCCTTTGGAAGTGACCTAGCAGTTTAGATGTAGAAAAGATTTCACAATGTTTTCATTTGTATGTGTCAAATTTATGCAATCAGAAGGATATCAGTGATGCTGCACTTACTGTACATGCATATTTAGCATAATGCAACTAGAATGTTTACCTGGGATTAAAATGGACACCCATACTCAGTTTATACCAAGGGCAAATGTTTAGGCAAAGTCTTAATTACTCCCAGACAAAGATAGCCCTGCTGTGGTTTATTTCCTTGCACTAGCCAGGTGGCTGTGTATGGATTCTCATCCTGTCTGGTTTTTGGCTCTGAACACTCAGCTTATTCAAAATTGAATTAAACTGTGAAAATGAAGCACTCCCAATCTATCTATTGGAAATAAAGTGAAGTACTTGTCAAAATTAATTTACCTGGGAAGGTGGAATATTTTACCTCAAGTGAAAGATTGATTTATAGCCTGCAGTATAAGTGGCACCTATATATGTGAAACACTTCAGAGTGTTTAAAAAAAGTTGCTAATTTACAACAAACAGTAATGCCTCCTTGGGATTTAGCGAAGAAGGTAAGCTTTCACTGTGGGGTTATTCCTTGTAAAGAAGATGCAGCCAACTCATGTATCTGTGTGCCAGACAGGGTCTGATTTGGGCCGACCCAACTTTTGCAAGCCTTGGTCTGGCCAGCAGCATTGCACAAAATACTGGGAATGCCTGACTGGCTCTGAAATCATAGCGATTCCATGGCGCCGAGTTTATATTTTATTTACAACATCCCATAATGCCTGCCAGCAGGGTGTGTGGACCCAGGAAATAATTAATGGATAAGGTTTCTGTGTAAATATACTATGAAATGGCATCATTATTTGCAACATGTGTAAACTAGAGAGGCAGACTTAGTTGGAAATGAATGCTTTTGAGCAGTCATATATTTCAGTAGGACCACAACGTTGTTCACACTACGTTTTTTTAGTGAATGTTTTTTAAAGTCTATTTATTTTTACAAACCTTCCTAGAGATAATATTGAGGCATCAGAGTGTATTCTGCTCTCCTCACCGCAGCTTTAAATTGCAGGATTAAAAATATCCACTGTTTATTTCCACTAAATCTTGAGCTCATTACTTGGGTTTTATATCATCAGATCCCATTGATTTTTTTTTTTAATAAGACTAACCCAAGATTATCAGAAGGAATGATATAAGCCTTTATCCATATTGGTTTATAAATCCTTAATCCAATAGGTATGCTTTTGGAAGCAAGTAACAGCATTACACATTTGAGGAGCCTCAGAGCTCCCTCTCCTCGGTGCAGTTTCATGACTAAGCTGCCTCTATCAAGAATACAGCTCAGCTTTATTCCCTCATAACCTGACTTCTGCAGGCTCTGCTCACAACTCATCACTGGAACGGAAACAAACAGGAATGTACTGCTACACTAAAAGGAATGTAATGGGAGGGTGTAGACTTTCAAAGACTAGTTCATTTTGCAACTTGCTCCACTTCAGCAAAACAGTATCTCCATTCTTTATGGATGCCACACAGTGCCATGTGTCATCAGTTGTGCAAACTCTCAGCATGACCACTTGTTCTGTTTGCTACAAGCTAGGGGTGTTACTGACTGCAAACAGCAGCATCCAGTGCCAGGTGCTATGAGGCCATATCCGACCTCTCAGACCTGATGGGTAATTGTCCATCTCTGCTTTTCCCTGTCATAGCCCATCTCCTAACAAGGCCAAGGGGAGTTTCAGCTGAGACAGCCTTCAGGATCTGACCTATTTCATCTGTGACATACAGCACTGTGAACTCTCGCCTGCCAAATTCCAAGGGCTTGATTTTTGGAAGAAAAAAACGTATTTCTTGGCCTCTTAGATTTTCTTAAAGGAATGCAGGTAATTGTTTTCAGTTATATGGCATATACACGTTGGGAGTTAAAATTTGCTCCTGTGATAATTGTTTAGAAGAGGAGACTGTTTGACTCTTGTCTGATCGCTTCAGTGGCACTGTGGTGTGTGTAGACATACTGGAGATCTCTTCACTAAGATGCTACCAGGGAGAAAGGTCATAGAATGAGCTAATTACAGACCAAATATCACTGGTTTTAAAAAAGTGTCATTTACAATACATGCTTCTTATTTTACTGTTGAGAATACTAAGTGGTGACAGTAGAACCTGTGCCCAAAAGACATTAAAATTGTTTCTCTGAGGTACTTTCTAAATCAGCATTCAATCTATTCATTCAATCGACTCTGTATAACAACAAATTTCTATAAGCTAGAAATGACAATAGTGGTCCTTAAATTATTCATATGATGTTAAATTGCCCCTATTAACACAAAAACAGCCGACAAGTTTGCCTTGAGTTTGTACAACTGGATCTCAGCTCTGGTCCACTTGAAAACAGAAAAGGACTTTAATAATTTTGAGGCTCTGTGATTCTCATGGGAACATAAGATATCTTAAAAGGAAATTAATAACAATGAAGCAAAATCTGTTCACAACAGAGAGCTAAAGGGGCAGGTTAAGTTACCTTTTTATTGTACTTTGCAAGACAGTGGTCATCTAATGATCATTACGTTCTTCATGATCACTGGCCCTTTTTTTGCTGAGGAAGGATCACTTACTGCAGAAAGAGATGGCTGCACCACTTTGCAGGGAAAAGTGAGTGAAACCCCTGGATATAATCTGTAATTCATGGTGTTTCAAGCAGGGAGACACCCAAACAGTTGGCAGTTGGGCACATCACTATTTGCTGTTTGCACTCCAGGCCACATCACCCTCAACCCAACCAGTAGATCACCTCGATCAGTACAAATGGAAAATGCCTTAGAGTCAGTTTTAAAAAATCACATCAACAGTATGTTTATTTCTCCAGAAGAATCTGTGTCTTTTTCACAGTCTTTCAATTGCTTCTTTTCTGAAGAGTGAAGTCTTTATTTCAGACATCTGCCTATAGAAAATCAACGTGGTTGTTTTAAGGGCACATTTAAAGATGAAAACTGAGGCTTGAATAACTTAGCATACAAATTACACAGATATAAAAGTTGTCTTTCATTGTCTTAACTTACAGTTTATTTTGTACAGAATTCATTATGTTATACATCTAAGACTTATTATATCGTATAAACATCTTGGGTGTGATGTATATACATATTCAGTGTTATAGATTCAGCAGTTAATGTATGCATTTCACAATACACTATAGTGTATTTCAATGTAGTGCACATGATATATTTCAGAAAAGAGCATTTCCTCTATGAAAAAATGGTATTTCATTCATAGGGCACTCTACCTTGAAATACAGTTTTTGTTTTTTTTTCCATTCTACCATGGACTGTTTGTACTGTGTCATATGGCTGTAGGATTTTCTTGTACATTCCCCAGTATGAATTAAGAAACAGCAGCTCAAAACATTACTCTGTGTGGTTCTACATCAAGAGGAGAGCAGGGCACTCGTTTCCTTAATTCTTATTAAATGAGAAAGAATGCATAGACGAGCCACATGGAGCTAGGCTGTGTGTGATGTTCGAATGAAGGAAGTTCCAAACAGATGAAAACCACTAGCTCTTCAGTGTTCTCTGAATGCCAGCTCTTCAGCTGGCATCACTGCCTCAGCTCTGATTTACAAGAGCTGAGGGTCTGGCATCAGCTCTGTTTTTACAGTTCACAAACTCCCTATTTTTCATTAACCCTCTCTTTGCTTGTTGAGTTGTTCCTTCTTTATGCACTGATACTACATATTGTCTTTTCTAGATATCAGGCAAAGAAACTCACCTACTGTGCCTTCTCTCTTTATGCTATAAATAAGATGTTCTCTTTATTCAGCATTAGATTACAGGTGTTGCTTCCCTGGGCACCTACTGAAGCGCAGTTCTAATTAATCTGCAGAGTTTGTTTTCTTTTCTAGACAATTCTAGTTTCTTGCATGCTTACATATCATGCCTTTTAATCACCTGACTTCCTCAGCTCAATAATCTCAAAACCAGAGACTCTTTCATTAACCTACAGATGCTGTTCATTTCACAGCAGAATATGATATATTCCATGAATAAAATATTTTTTTCATTCCTTTTTTAAATAACGAAGAGCTTGGATTCCCTGGGAAAAAAAAAAAGGAATAGGTGCATCTGAAAATGGTTTCACTTGTTTTGGATTATTTTAAATTAAATTTACATTCAAAGCATGTTATTTTGATAGTAAAACATGAGACATTTCATTTTAAAAGTACTGCACTTCAATGCAGGACTGTGCTTCATACCTACTATATTCACCTAAATTCTTTTCCTTCCCGTTTAGAAGCGGCTGTTGATTTCTGTTACATAGCAAAGATTCAGAAGAGCAAATGAGCACAGCTGTAGGTCTCTCCATTCAGTGTGCCATAGTGACTGGAGTTGGAGTCCTATATCACAGGGCCAGAATTCAGCATCTGCTGATGCAGTTGGCAGAACTGCGGCCACCATGAAGTTGGTTACAGAGCTGAGTACAGTGCATACAAGATCCTGGTTGCACTGTAAGCTGCTGGGTATGCATTCATGGAAACAGCAATGCTGTTTGTCCTGCTCAGGTACCATCGCCGTGCTGTCTCATGTCTAGTTTAGGTTTATTGGTGATGGATTTATACAGGGGAGGACCAGGCTGGGTATCAGGACAAGGTTAATCACTGTGAGGCGCCCTCAGATAAGAGCATGTTGGGAAGAGATGCTAAATCTTTTTCCTGTTCTTATTAACAAGGATCATAGAAGGAATTAATGGTTCCTCGTGAGATCTGGAGCATTTAAAGAGGAGGGAAACATTTGTTAGACATTCTGAGATTTCACTTCAGTACAAGTACTGCATCCCTTATCAAATGGAAGCATCGTGGTGGTTTGGTACTTTATCTGCTTAAAATTGGATTATAACAGATGCTTTTCCCTGACTATGCAGTTCAACACCAGCAAGCAAAAGTCTTTAATCACTTTCACAAGCTTGGTGTCCTCATTTTGCTTTGTAGCCTCACTATCTAAATTCTAGTATTCTGCAGTAGTTATACTAAACATGTTCCCAATGGTGGATTAGGATCCAAATGCATAATTTGCCAGAGTAAAGGTTATCTGGTCTGTTCTAATATAAGAACAGAATCATAAAATTAAGGTTTTATCTCAAAATGTGGGAGCAGCTGTATGTAAGGCTGTCATAGTTTGGATCTTATCCATCAGAAGAACCTGTGCTTTATTGTGTGTTGGTTTTTTCAGCTTTTTTCTAAATGTAATTTTCAACATATTTCAGTTATTCTTCCACACAAATATCCACATAATACCTGTGCAAGGGCAGCTTTGAACCTTCAGCATGTGTTCCTTGTTACAACAGCAAATAATCACTTCATAATGTGCCCAGTGGGCCTTTTCTTTCCTGCTCCCTTTTTAATGAAAAATGACTTAATGTAGGTTGGTTGTGTGTTTTCTTCTTAGCAGCCTTATGGTCAGTGATGGCTTAGTGGGTGTCTGGAGCATAATCGGATGTCCTGCTAAACTCTACCATCAGTGCATTAATTTATTAATAATGTGTAACACTGACTCCAAGCTTTTGCTTCTTTGCTATTTGCTCCTTCCTATTCTATGCATTTCAGTACCATATTTGGCTTTCTCCCTCTGATAATGTGTATTGTCAACGAAGCTGCTGTGTTTTCCTTTGAAGTATGTGCTGTTTGTTTGCAGGTTACCTTTTCATGTAAGCAGTGACAAAAGTAAACCCGGAGTTGCTCCTTGATTTTCATATTCCAGGGTTATTTATTATTGTATTTACAGTTCCCTGTAAGATAAAACCCTTTCCCAGTAAGAGTTCTAACACCTTTCTATGTTTCTAATGACCCATATACTGACATGGAAAGAAGGAAGATAATCAGTGATGAAGGAGGTATCTCTAGGAGCTGATGCCAATGAATGGAAAACCTAAATTGTTATAAATATTACTGTACTTCACTTTGGTACAACAGAAACAAAAAAGATCAATGGAAATAATGTTCCCTAAGTCAAATAAAATTCATAAACAGTACAAAAGGAAATTAACCACATGGGGTTTTTTGTATGTGTAAAAAACAGTAAGACTACTTGGCTGCATTGCACGTAGGCAATAAGATAAGATTCATTCATATCCCTTTTAATATAAGCCATGTTTCAGGCTGTAAGCAAGAAATGTCCGCTGTGCTTTACAAAGAATGACGACTAGAAAAATCAATGCAAACAAAGATCCCTTTCTTTTCTGATTTACCATTTATCATGAGAAATGACAAACAAATGAAGTCTCCTCTGAGTCTGAGCGCAGTTGTATTAGCATTTTGCTAGTACCAGGCAGTATACAAAAACAGCCATCGTGTGTGACACCTTCAACACCTACAGGTAGCTGCTTTAGGGGCACATCCTGGTTTGTGGTGAAACAGGTTTAACTCAGCCAGCCTCTTGTACCTGCTCAGTGATGCCAGATTATCATCTCAGTAACTCCGAGGTTGAACTGTCTTGTTCCTATTGCTGACTGGACTGACCGCTCCACCATCCATAAACAGAAGGCATAAAGGTGATTACAAACATAAGAAAGTAGTTTTACATATTGTCTTGCAGTCTTTCCATATAGTCCCTAAGTTCCTTGGAATCACCAAGATTCATATCTTGGCATACCCATTTAATATTATCATCACTGTCAAATAGAATTGAGTTGGTGTAGGGGCCTCCATCCTCCGGCAGTATTGTTGTGTAGGAAGTGAACTTCACTCGCTTCTGCTTTGGCCCAGAAGGATTTATAGGTTCACTTTTAACTTCTTTTTCACAAAGGTACTCAGAAGATCTGAGGATGTGATTATGAAGAGTCTTCTGAGAACTCCCATTAAGGAGAAAGTTGCTTTCTTCAAACTGCATTCCTCTGTCAATCATGGTTGTGCACTCCTCTGATGGGAGTGAAATGTCAACTGGGTTCTCCAGCAGTTCAACCTCATTTCCAAGCCAGACCCAATCATGGGAATGGGGGATGTTGCCTTGCTCACTCACAGCAAACCTTTTATGCCTGTATTTCCAAGCAAATGCCACACAGTTAATCAAAAAGACCAAGATTGCTAAGCAGAAAACACACAGCAGGGCATACATGCCGATCTCTAAATCTGTTAATCCTCTTGAAGTCAATGTGAGATCACTGGGATTGTTCTCTCCTGGTATTTCTACTTGGGCAGGAAAACCCGTGAAGGCAGTTGGGTTATTTTGGAGCTGGTCATCCTCCAGGGACTCCTGATCAATGGGAGATAGGAAAGTTGTGCTTTTGTTTGCATTGTCCTCATGATTACTAAGGACTCCATTTTTGGACCATTCTTGTGCTGTCCTCTCTTGTTCTGCAGTTTTTTCTATGGAATTGCTTGCATGGCTTTTAAAATCTTTATCTGTATCATCAATGTCATTGGTGCTTTCTTTTTGATCAGAATCTTTTTGACCAAACTTCACTTTGACGCTTCCCTTTCCAACAGCCAGAATGCTCTTTCGCTTTGTCTTCTGACATGGTTCACTGATGACCATTTCAATTTTAATTAGAGGTCCTTGACCATCCCCTTCTGCCACCACCCCAGGCCATTTTGACTGAAGATTCTGGTGTACAGATACTACCATCTCATCCAGTGAAGTGATGGTGATTGAGAAATCCTTAGAGTCATAAATATCTAATGGTGTCACTGACCCATCACTGAACAAAATCCAAGCACTGACTATGGCTTCCTGCAGGGAAAAGAGGATTAGAAAAATGGTGTGTGAAATGTAAGCGAGCACATAGGCAGTACTCAGTTTGTTTGTCATCAGCTAAATAAATACACAGTTTGGATTTGGTTTATCTTGTTGTTCAAAGAAAAAAAATGAAATTGTCTGCTCTGCTTCCCATTTTTGCAGTTTTGAGCTCTCTAGGCCATTAGGCATTTATCTCATCTTTAGGAACTACCAGACAACAGTCATCTAACTTTAATAAAGATTACAAAAAAAAAAAAAGTCTTTTAATCTTAAGCAAGACTCCATCTTGGAACAATGGAGCGCTGCTAGGAAAATAATTGTATTTTCAAAGTCCTGGTTAATTAATTTTACAAGTGCCTTATAATGGGAAATCTCTGTAATGCTGCAGTTCCATTGCTATCTTTAGTACAACATGTGGAGGGGTTACAGACTGGAATGGTGATTCCCATTCAGCCTGCTGAAACAAACTAGGTTAAGAAAACAGCTCAGTGCAGCGTTTTAAATGTTCTATCATGCTTCCAAATGCACACAACTACATTAAATACGCAAAAGTGATTGCAGTTCTTTATGGCAACTACAAGAAACGCTGCAATCCCCCCCATGTTTAGGAAGATTTCAAAGAAAATAATTTGTCTTACTGAAAACTGCTGGTGTGAAAATAATAGTTGCACTTTTTCTTCTGTTACAGAGTATCAATTCTATACAAATATAGTGAAAAATACGTAAGATACTTCACTCAGTGGTCTTATCCAGAACTTTGTAATTTCTCATGTTACATAGTCTATTCCATACCTGTTTTGGTGTATGAAGGATATCGTACGCAGAGGTGGTGGACACAATAGCTCTCTTATTTCCTTTGCTGGTTTGTAAGGAGAGGGACAAGCCTGAAACTAGTTGTACTCCTAGATCTGTAATAGTTACACGGTCATCTAGAACTACCACTGTCTTCTCTGCCAAGATGGAATCAGAAAGAGGTGACAGAACCTTGAAAGAGAAAAGAAAAGCCAGTCACGAACAGCAACTGTGTTAGAAAGCATTAGTCTCATCAGCATAACACTTGGGTTAATCTCAAGTTTGTCACAGTTATGTATAAACTGCAAGTCATGTTTCCCCCAAGAGGTTGGACTCATTTGCTACTGAATTGCTATATTTACGAAAATAATTTAATAAAACGTCATAACAATTCAAAAATGGCCACCTCATCTCAACTATGGAGCATGGTTTCAATTAAACAAATTTGTTTGACAAAAAAAGTCATTTTTGTGTTGTCTATGACATTTCCAATGAATGCAGTGCAGCACAAGACACCGTGTTAATCTGGTATGTTCAGCATACCAGTTAATGCTGAAACTCATTAAGGATTAGTGCACAAGGCTGAGCAATGGGAACTTGCCCTGGTGCCTTTGTGAGAACAGAGGACCTCCATGAAGTGAGAGATTTGCAAAATGGATTTTGAAAAATCCCAATGGATGCCCATCTTCATTTTCCTTGTGCCAAAACAGTCCTGTCAGTTTGCTCTAAGACCTTGTTTCTGAGATACTCCGAAGGACATAAATCATCTTTCAATTGATTCCTGAGTCAGCTGGATCAAGCCCTGAATATTTGATGTGTAAATCATCTACCATAACATCAGATACCTATGTTATAGATACCTGCATCTGACCTGGCTGCCTTCTGCACTGCTATAGTTACTAGGGAGAAAGAAGTACTTCAAGGGCAGAAATCTCTTGCCTTCTCTGTGTTGTTTGTTTTAGGCTGACAGGAACTGAGCTTTGTTTCTGCGCATTGACTACAAAGGAAATTTAGCATGACTGGAACATTATGAGTGCTTACAGTTTATCCTCGATGCTTGTATTCCTTATTTTGATTTAAAAATCTGAATTAAGATAGATGGGTGAGCATGAACGCTGAAGGATTTCTCAAGATTGTTTTTGTGTTTATTTTATGTGTTTCATTTTGTGAATGTTTAGGGACCAGTTTTTCAAAGACATCTAGGCATGTAAAAATGCTGGTAAATCTTAGGTAAATCTTTCTAACCAGGAAGTTAATAAGGTCCCAATTTAAAAAGAAGCTGGTTGTATGGATGATGCAACCTCCATTGTTCATAAAATCCCATTGTACTTCTTAGTCCTTAGTGAATACAACCCTCCCAAAATTTCACCTAAAGGTATTGCATGGAGGTGACAAATAGCAAAAATGAAAACCTGTTCCAACTTCTTTTTAGGCTTCTACTAAAGCAATGACACCCGTGGCAGTACCTGGACCGTGGTGATGCCATGCTCCCGACCCACCAGAACTCGGCCATCTTGAAGCTTAGCAATCCTGGGATCTTCCACCTTCATGAAATCAGTCACAAGGTCAGTGATGTCAAACTGCCACTCAGAGCCTAGCATATAGGTCAGGTAGCCTCCAAACTCAGAGGATTCGGCTACAAACTGTGTGAGGACTCGCACCATGGCATGCTGATACTGAAGAGTGCAACCTCTTCCTTTTTTCTCATCATCTTCTTCATCCTCACTGTCACGGGTAGGCCTGTAAACATAGTTATGTTTATTGAATTGCCACAGTCTCCACTCAACACTGCAGAGCTCCATTTGCACAGTATTTTCAGTTAGATTAAGGTTAGTGTCATCTATTACTGCTTGATAAACAGGTAGCCAGATTTTGGAAGAACACTTAAATCTGAGTGTTATGCTTCTGCAGATTTTTGTGCTGTACAATTTAAAAGCTGACGCTGTATCAGTTAGTTAGCTCTTTGTTATTGGAGAACTGCCCAGCAACCTGCAAGTGTGGCTGTTGGTGCTGCTAGTTCAGTGGATCTACCACTCGCTCTCCTTACCATGGTTTGGCAATCAAATCTTGTAAAGTGCTAAGGAAAGCAGTGTGAAAGATCCATGAGAGGGCCATTTGGGAATAAACCCCTACAGTAGCTCAGCAGGGGTGAGAGCAGAAGTTTTAGCATCCCTTCCTCCACCCGTGCTCATAGCATTTGTATTACATTGCTTAAGTCCTCAAAATGCTGCTCCACCTCAATATTGTGTTTGAGAACCTCATATAGTCAGTGCAAGTGCTACATTTAGAAAAGCAAAGACCACGCAGAACTTCAAAAAGCCCAATTTAGGCATTTAAATTATGACATTATTCATTACGGTGCTGTACAAACATCATCCCAGACTGTTGAGATTCACCCTCAGGAATAGGTACAGCGTTACATACACTCCTATTAAAGTTTTCTACCTTGTCCCCTATGCAAAATATAATTTCTGTCAATATCACAGTTTTGCATAAGCCTTTTATCAGTGATTTGTACATGGTGTTAGGGCTGGTTACATCTCACAGTTTTCTCTAGTTTAAAACTTAGTTTCCTATAAATTCTTTGTTGTTATTCATTCCTTGAGGCAAACACATGGATTTTCCTTATCTGTTGCAAGTCAGGCATTAAGTCCTAGGTGGTCAAATTTTTACTCGTTATGCCCTCACGCTGTGGAATTTATTGTTCAGAAATATTTTGCCTTTCTCTTTTGCTTGTTTATTGGAGCTGAAGTGACTTTATAGCAAGGATGTGAAATACTGGGTAAGCCTCTTATTTTTCACAGTATTTTGGGAAGTAGTTTTGTGTTTACTGTGGTCCTTTATCTTCCTTTTTGAAATACCAGCTATGAAAAACTATTATAAAACAGAATTGCTTTTGTTATAAATTGTTTTATGACAAAGTTGGCAAACTGTAAGCTGAAAATGTATCTAAGAGAAGCCCTTGTGCTCTTCAAAATGCTATAAAGTCCTGGTGTTACAGAATCTCATTCACTAGAAATATATTCTCAATGCATCATTTGTTAGGTGGATATACGTATATATTCAGCCTGAAATAAGCAGCATTTGGTACAGCCCTTTTGGTTTTATGTGCGCAAAACAGCAGTGTTCATCATTAGTCACTGAATGAAGCACCGATGGATTTTTGTAACAAAAGAGGATCTTAAGATAGGATTTACATTGCACAAAAAAAGGAGACCAGCTGAGTAGCCAAGGGAAATTTTCAGTTGTTCTCTCTTTCCCAGCCTAAGTTTCAAACTGGACCATGAGCTGACACAGCTAGTCAGCAAAACAGCCACAGAGGCAGAAAAGGGACGCTGATAGAGTTTTCCTGACCTATTTGGATGTATTTTGGCTTTATAATGCTGTGAAAGAGTTCACAGACTCCTTCAGGTTCCCACTTCCAAACCATTCCTGTATTCTAATGCTCTTTAGCTCACCTAAACTGTAACCCAGCTCTGAATAATCACAGGCTTTGGGAAAACCAAGCCCCCAAGATGTGGAGCTTTAACCCTGCTTTTTGACAGTGCTATTAATACCTGTGCAGAACTAGAGAAGAATGTGCAGGGGCCATTCAGGTGAGAAGTACTTGCCAGATTTGGGGGAAAAAAGCTGCAGAATCACTGGGAACCAATGGAAAAAGACATCACAGCACCACCATGCTGCGATGTGGAGAGAACTATTCACATGTTCAACATCCACAATGACTCGTTTTTCTAACACCACTCTGTTTTCTCCTCACCTTTATATCACCAGATGTTTTGCTCAGTCAGATCCAAAGTGTTTCTGCTATTCACATTTCTTTGGTACTGATTTACTTTTAATTTCACTCTCTAAAACTTGAGACTAGTAGACTGCTTAGGAGGAAATACATTTCAGACAAATTTGAGCAACCCATTGTGGGCAGCAAGACCAGGAGTTAAGGAGCGTGGTGAAAGGGCAGATTTTCTGGGCAGCCAGTGCTACCAAAAGATGATTCAAGCCCATGTATTTCTGTGTGTTATCTGAAGCAGACAAAGGTAAGGGCTCTGTTTCCCCTTCAGTAATATTTATAACTCTTGATATCTGTACATTTCACCTTAGAAGTTCTTGGCTTCTACTGCATGCAAATGTGGAACAGTGGAAGAGCATCCTTAAGTCATGGACTGGGCAAGACACATTCCTATGTCAGTGCAAAGGAAAAATAGAGGTGCTTGAATTTCCAGTACATGCTTTGCAATTCTGCTTTACCAGGTACCGACTCAGGTTCTTCTTCTTTTTTTTTTTTTTTTTTTTTTTTTTTTAAATAAATGATATCCATTTCCACTTCAAAGCCACAAATCCCCGATTCAGTTTATAAGAGCATTTGAGTGTTCTGTCTCCACAGACCCAACAAAATGTTTGAAATCCACTGAATCGCATCGTTCCCTTTAGAGTCTTAAATTTCTTGTTCCAGTGTTTTCAGCAGGATTAAAATCCTTCCCTCCTTAAGCAGTGAGCTCATTTTCTTTCTAAGACGTGTCCTCATGAATATGAGCTATGGCTGCATATTTTGCTTTTCTTTCCCCTTGGTCATCTCTGAGGTTAGCTCTGGAACTTGCTCAGAATCCTTATTATCCAATTTCTTGCTGCTTTTCAACCTTGTTTGGAAGACTTCTTTATTATTATTATTATTTTTAATTTTCTGGAGCGAAGCAAGGTTGCCAGAATTACATTTCATTTACATTTCACACAGAAAAGCCTTTGCCAGAGAGCTGAGTTAAAGCAGCAGCCCTGTAGTGAGGGTGCCTGCTAGCACTGATCTAATCAGTGATCTGTCAGCTCCATATTCCAGACACGGCCTTCAAGCAGTTTAAGTATGTCCCTTTTAATTTGCACCACTCTCAAACCAGGCATCAAGTTCTTGGGCCAGATGCTAATTCTCTGCTTAAAAAAACGCCAACGAGATCAGTTTTGCTGGTCTTGAATTTGAAATATTCATTGTGAAGAGACACCTATTTCAAAACCACGTGCAACACTCCCAGCTGAAAAAAAATATCTATTTCAATACAAAACTCAAGCCACCAGAAGGTGATTTAGTGGAAGATGGCAGAAGTTGTACATAGCTCCACTCCGAGCTCAAGAAGAGAAACAATTTCACCGATCCCTCTGCAAATCCTGAAAATGCAGCCTGCCTGTGAACAAAAGCCACTGTGGCCTTATCTCCCCAGCTTTAAACTCAGTTAATGGAAGGTGTGAATTTATAATGTTCAAGCTTTGTGCAGATGTTACCATTCACAAGTGAAATGGTTTGAATCCAGTCTCACTTGATTCTCATTAAAAGGATGGCTTCCTTTCCAGGTGACAACGCTCACAAGGTCTAGTTCAGCACTTCTTTTACCTTTGTTTAACTCCAGCTGACTTCCCTGAGTTTGTCTCCAGAATGAGACCAGACTGAAGTAGACTCGCCACCAAATTAACCATATGTTCAACAGCGTGCCACTCACAAGCATTGCCATGTCTGGCTTAAGTAGGTCGTAGAGGTGTATGTGATGTGAAGTCACCATGATCGAGTAGAGGCTTTATTAGCTTCTGCTCAGTGACCAGATGCTGGTACAAGTCCAACGCACCATGTGCCTGACACTGAAGCATATGCTGGAGTCCTGCTGTGTGATGTCTGTTTCTCTGGGAGCCTCACAAAAACAGAGTGCTATTCCAGTTGCAGATATGTACTTAGATTAAATTTTTAGCTTGTTCTGTGAGGCTTTAGCCGTGCAGTTCCTATTAACACAACTTAGAGCCATTCATCACATGTAAATGTACTGGGCATAGAACTAGCACAGGAGCTTCAGAAGAAGATAATTATTTTTCAGATGCACGAGGAATCAAAGTAAATGTCCTTGTTAGACTGGCAGAGACTGGCTGGACCTCTCCTCCACTCCAATATTTGACTTTAAATTAAACATACACCTTCTGTTTGCTACAACTGTGAGCTTCTCTGCAGCCCATTACAAGGAGGAGTATTTCTGTAAGCCCATGCTGGATCAAGGACCCTTCACCACACCCACGTAGCTCACTTCCATCTGCTCTTCCCTCAGAGCATTAGGGAAGAAAGCACTTACGAAAGAGATGGAGGAATAAGGTAGGCTGAAAATCAAAGAGAAAAATCCAAAAAACAACAGAAGAAAAGCCATTAAATCTCAGGTAAAAATCCAGCCAGATCTAAAAATAAAAGAAACGTAAAATCCTTAGGTACAAAGTAAATAGCAGACTGAGCAAAACTGATGCTAGTCCTGGGCTGCTTGTTGATTTATAATATCCCCACAAAGTTTAAAAAACAAAAAGAAAACAAATGAACATTCCATAAAATAAGGGGTACATTATTTCCAGCTCATAAGTGCACGGATTGCTGACATGCAGTGTCATAAACTTTACCAGCTGCAGTTCTGGGGAATGGTACAAGAAAGTCCCTACTCCCACCCTTGATGGCAAACGCCTGCCAGAGCCATGCCAGCAGTTCAGATGCAATGTGAGCAGCAGCACACTTCCACAGCTTGCCAGCTTGCAAACAGAGCAGGCTCTCAGACCACGTCTTTATTTCAGCTGGCCAAATAAATCAGAACTAGGCACCGGGGGGTAAATTTCCAGCAATCTGTATAATGGATTTAAAGTCAGAATGTCCACGAGCGTTAACTACAATTGAAAGTCTAACTTGCTGAGCTTTCTGCTGGAAGTTCACTCCCGCAATAAACACCAACAGCCTCATCCTGCAGCCATTTACTCAGCAAAATCCCCACTGGCTTTGGTAGGAGTTGTGCCTAAGGAGGTGTTACAGTATCAGGCACACTGCATGCAGGAGGTAAGTTAAGTGAGACTGTAAGCAGCTGGCGTGTGTTCATTCACTGCCTAGCACATCTCCTCCTTCCACAAACAGCAACTTCGCCTTTATCGCTGAAGCAAGCACACATTTCTTCTGCAGCAGATCCTCATTGTGTATTCTTCTGTTATAGCTGGAAAAAACATCCACATAGCCAAGAGGAATGGCAGTCTCTTTCTTCTGAGCTCATTACCTGAGTTTCTTGTAGGTTTTCTATATTACCCTGAGTTTTATGCTCTCATAAAGTGTTAGATAACTCTCCTCTGCTGCAGTCTGCCCAGGCTCTGTAAGGCTCTTCAGTAGCTGAGATGTTCTCCTGGGCAAACGGAGTGCTTTAGTTAGAACTGCCACAGTGTTTAGGACTCCTGGTACTGCTTTCCCACTGTGTTATGAATGTGATTTGGTGTCATGCTTTGGTGCCCTGTACCATTTTTCAGCTTCTCCTGAAATCCACCAATAGTAGCATTCCTGGAAGTTATTAATCTAGCAAGTTGCCCAAATGAGTGTTCTATGAGAATGGATATTTTCAGTAGGGAAGGATAAGAGAACAGAACTTAGAATCCACATGTGTTTATTGTCATGAATGTTTTCAGTCCGTGTGAGTCCTGATAGAAACTATTCATATGAAGATAGTCTTCTATAATATAATATAATAATGGGTTTTGTTTGTTGTTGTTGTTTTTGCCTAATTCAGATCTGTTAAGTGGTGCTTCACCCAAGTCTGCTGTACAGGGGTTGGATAATCATTCAGAGCCCTGTTGATCCTTCTTGCACCTCTTTGCCACCTGCATGATTTCACATCTTCCCAAGCTGTTCCATCTGCCTCTCTGTGAGACTGCTGATTGTACTGAAATTTTGCCTTTGAGTCAGTTTTGGTTTTGCCTTCAAAAGCATGCTGTTTTTTTAGTTACTGTACTTAACCTGCTACAGTGCAAAACTGTATGGGACAGCAAGAATGTGCAGAGACCTGAAATATGGTCAAAACAGTGATTGGAAATCACTGTTAAGAAGCCATTATTCTGCTCTGAATTTGTTAATATTAAATATTATTCATTGCTACAATCAGAAAGGTCAACACGGTGGAAGGGCGATACAGCAGTGTAACAGCAAAAGAACTAATGCGAATAGAATGGTGTTACAAAGGAAAAGTGCTTACCTGTTTCTGAAGATCTGAGCTCACAGAAAAGACTCCACGAGGAAGGGATCTCCAACCAGAGATCCTTCCCCAGTAGCAGTCGGCCCTTAAATGGGGTCGAAGAGACGGGCAGCCAGGTTCCACCCCTTCCTATCAAACAGCTGAACTGCCTTCAGCTGTGTACCCAGGGCTGACTGGGACCTTTCCCCAGGTGCTCAATCAGTGCTTCAGGCTGGGACTCCACAGTTACCATACATTCATTTATAAAAAGGTGTCTAGCACATAATCCAGAGCAACAAAACAAAACGACAGAAAATGTACTGTGCAAAGTGTACTTTTGCTGCTGCTCTAGGATTTGGAAATACCAAGTTATGCTAAGGAAAAATACAGAGATATGCTTTTCACAAGCTTCAAAGTCTCTCAATTTTTATGAAGTTTAAGTATTTTGCATAAAATGATGCCTCACACTACAGAGGAATGGGCTGAACAGCAGCCTCCCAACACGATGGTGAAACCAGCACATTACTCAAGTATTTAGTGAATACAGGAAAGCAAAATCAGAAACTCTGACTGTTCTTAAAACCAAACAGCCTCAAAATATCTGGATTTTCTTTCCCAAGGCTCACGTTTCCCTCTCTAATGCTATGGTAGGTAGACTGCTGAGTTCATGATGAATGGCTGTTTCTGTATGCCACACCGAGATGTGCACGTCCTCTGGATCTGTGTGGTGCCCTTTAGTTTCTGGTGTAAGCTGTCCCCTGAGCCATGCCCAGGTTGAGTCCTGCAGAGCATAGGCTGACGTGCACTTGTGCAACATCCAAGTGCTGTGTGTTCTCAGTGAATGCCTGACTCCTCCCTTGCCTTCTTTTATTCAGCCACATACGCAGAAACCAGCACTGGTAGTGCTGAACATCACACACACAAAAACTTTTGTATGTGGGGCAAGAGGTCCAGGTTCTTTGTGTCAGATTTGCACACTGGAGTTTGTGGTACAATTTCCTGAGATTGCGTGGAATTGATTACTGCTCTTAGCAGAGCTACTGACTTTTAAACTATACAGGTCAGGGTAAAATGCAGCCTACTCGCATCATTGTTGGGCACTGTAATGAAGGCAAAGTATAGATCTCATTTCCAACAGGAGTGTTGAGATTCTGAGAAACACTAAAAATTTGAAGCATTCTAAAACCAGAGGCTCAGGATGGTGCTCGTGCTGTAAGCATACCTCTTATTGGAGGTGACGGGTATCCTCCAGCCTTTGATCTGGCTGAGCTCTGTGTCAGAGATCTCTATCTGCAGCGGCAGCCGTGGAACCCAGACCGTCACTTCTAATTGGGTGGTAAAATGCTCATAAGTGAAGTTAACAATAGTATCCACTTTGCTTTTCATTTCCTTGCCATTAACGAAGATGGAGTCACATCTGTCAGAAACCTTAAAAAAAAAAAAAAAAATTAATTGAGAAATGAATAAAAGTTCCTAAGGAAGCACAAGGAACAATGCATCAGTCCAAAGACAGCGCAGATAATGCGAATCATGCATATTGTATTTTCAGTTTTCTAATTAGTAGCAAACAGTGATAAATGGACGCCAGGGAAACAGTTTTGCCTTCCTCAATGGAGCCTACTCAAACTACAAAAATAATTTAATGATGTTATATAACCTACGTGAATCTTTTATACTAGGCAAATTAAACTCTTCATGAATCAAACTCCATATGCATCAAAGTTTACGTTTACAACTTGCTTAAAGAACCTGGAAAAATGGGGCCATATGTTAGTAAGAAAAAGACTGACTCAGAACCATAAAATAGAATCCTTTTCTTTTTCCTTGAGCACTGTAATACTGAAAGACAGAAGCTCCCCGTATGGCTTGTGAGCAGAAGTGCAGCAGAAGCATTAATTTTTAGAACTTCTCTGTAATTGTTTTAGTAAAATGTATTCATAATTGCTGTGTGTCGTTATATGAAATTATATAAGGATTCTGGCATAGCGATGCATTTGACTTGCATCCAGGAAGGATGGAACTTCTTGATAAGGCACGTTTTTTATATTCTTACGTGTGTGTATACGTACACTTTTAGACCATGCATACATTTAGATTAACATATTGAGTTTATACATATGCATATTCATGCATATACATGTATATAACATGCCTATGTACGTGTATTCATTACACATCTTCACTCTGCTTTGAAGCAGAGCCGTGGGTCACACGAGGTGGTTCTGTCACTGAAATGGGCTCCGTTCTCCCATCAGGACTGTTCTGTATTGCGTTGTACTGAGGCTCCGGTATAGAAACACAGCATCATTAAGGCTGGAAAAGACCTCTCAGATCATTTAGTACAACCATCCACCTACACCAGTATTGTGCACTGTATCAATAGGCAAAGAAACAAAGAGATACTGGCTGAAGATTCCAGTCTAGATTCCAGTTACGTGGAGTTCAAAGAATCACAGAATAATATCCTTAATATCCTACAGCCTTGTTAGGAAAGCTCACTATGTGATGGTTTTCTCTCCATATTTGATACTCATACATAAAGCAGAAGAGCTGCACCTCCACTTATGCCATTTGCATGTCAGCTTGTCAGATTCTAATCAACATACCCAAACTTGAATCATTTTTTTGCAAAGTAAACCAAGTTACAAGGAAAGGAGCACAGGAACCTAAGTCACTCTTGGAAAGAATAATCCTTCCACACCAATGCTGAATAAATACAAGAATTAAAAAAAAAAAAAAGAAATTTAAATATGAAAAATAAACTATCTATCTGATAATAGAGCTCCTAATGGATTCCAGTCTCAGGAGTATCACAAATGAGATGGAGCATACTCAGAATCCTCGTTTCCCCCTCATAATGTGTCACAAGTGTCTCTGGGAAGTTTAAGCACGTTAATCAAGCCCATTAATTGAATGAGCAGTTGAGATTCTAAATCATAAAGCCCACATCTAGGGAGTTTTCTGAGAATTAAAACAAGGCAGAAATAATTAAGAAAACCCAAAGAGGGAGGGATAAACATCAAGGCCTGATCGAGGGAATAACTAATACCTGACAAGACGGCGCCTAATATTTTAGATTACTCTTTGTACTGTCTTAAAAGGTCCTTGGATTTTTGTCAGCAAGCAGGCAAGGCTCTGAACTGGGGAACAGAAAGATGGGCTTTAATTGTAGCTGTAAAAGTATGATCAGGCTTGGCTTACACATTTCACAGATTGCATCGAGACAGAGCCATCCATTCGCATATATCCAGACCAAGAGGTAAGTATACATCTTTACATCGGTGCTGTACAAGTACAGGGGCAGGACAGGAGACAGAGGGCTGCAATTAACCTCTCTGGGCTTTGAAGCAGGTGGTTGGCTGCAATCCCCACAAGTAATTGTGAGAAGCACCGTTTGCCCTGCGCTGCCTCTCACAGCCTCATCAAGCGCTGGCAATCCAAAGAGTAATTGGGAAAGCATTCCCTGTAAGGGTCAGCGCAGGTTTACACACTCTTTGGGAGAACAGGTGAAACAGAGGGGATGGGAAATGACAGGAAAACAAATCAGCTTGCTGTGTGGTTAATTTTTACGGCTTTCCATCAAGGTTTTGATGAAAATCTTGCACTTCCTCCTCAGCTCGCAGGTCATTCGTTGCATAGGGAGACTGAGAGACAGATGTGACAGAAATCCAGCCCAAATCCTTGTGTTCATTAACCAGTGAGCAACTGTTCCATTTTTGGACAGCAAAGCCCAACTTGCTGTAGCTCACCTAATAATCTTAAAATGCTAATTTTGTGATATTCCTTGAATGCCTTCTTTTCCACCTTTTCTGCTATGCTGTTCTCAGTGTTGTCTTGTTAGCTCATTAGGAAGGACTTGCTTGCTACTCCTAGCCCTTATGCTGCGATTTTTATTTCGCCATGAGCCTGAAGAATTTGATTTCCTGTATGAGAAACAAGCACAAGGGGCAATGAGTCTAATGTCCTCCTCCTCTGTTGGTGAGCGCAGTGCCTCCCTGGCTCCACTCTTTGCACAGCTGGAGTATTCCCTCAGCCAACAACAGGGTGGGAAGATAGGGCTTATGACTTTATGTCTGGAGACAGAGAAACAAAGTGTTTTCCCAAGCCTTTTTCAGCTCAGCAAAGCTGTTTTTGTTTAAACTCATAGTTTTGCTTGATAGTAGTCAGCCTAGAAAATGTCAGACTTCTTGTTTTGGCTGCAGTTGTACTTTATGTCACGACACATTAATTAAAGCACAGTAAAAATAAAAGGTTGTCCATTGTGTTAACAAAGCATTGGATGCACTGCAAGGCTTCTGACAAAGCACACAATTCGACCTCTTGCACACAGGCATTTCTCTGTGCAGTTGATTCTGAAAATAGTTCTGCTTCCCTGTGTCCCAGCTCATGGTGTGCAGTGGGGTCTACAGATATTGTCTCCAAGCAATTGGAGGCAAATGGTAGATTGAGAATAGACAGAGTGAAGGGAGGCAAAGGACATGGTGCTGACATTGGAACTAACGAAAGCAGAAGTTTTACTCCCTTGTAATTTTAGACACGCGCAGAGTAGTCTTGGAAGTGTCATTTTTGAAACAGCCTCTTCACATGAATTTGTTTTTATTGGCAAATCAGTTCTCCAAATACTGTTCTCTGGAATAGCTGCCGTAGTTTCAGATACAAGGGTTGGCCGTGAGAATCCCTCGAGATATGTTCTGAAGTTTGTTTCCTACTTAGAAACAGAAGCAAGAGTTTAAATCAAGTATTCCCCAATGCGGTGTATGTGTTTGCTTTTCATCTTAGCAGTGAGTAATAATGTCACATATAAACGATACACAAACAGCATGATTCAGTGCACTCCAATAGCTATACTTAGAAATATCATTACAATGGAAGTTTCTCCCATCTACCAGCTTCCACAGGTCAAGATGGGCCTGAGAGATTTCCCATGTTCTACATCTTTGGTTGTCAGATGCAGACAGTAACATCCATAACTCAATTTGCCAGATTGGGCTCATTCTGAAGACTACTCATTGACACTGGTACAAAATACAAACTGTAATTTATGCTCTGAAGTGTAGCAATGGGCAGCTGGAAGCTAGAATCAAAGGGAGATCCTCTGTCCATGGAACCAAAGGTTTAGAAAGCTGCATGGCAAATGGAAGAGCTGCATGAGCAACAGACCACAGAAACGTGATGGTGTGTGCCATAGGCTTCTGGAGGGATGATCAGTCACACGGCTGCACAGAGCTCTACATGGACAACGTGAGATCATTTCAATACAAGCTCAGCAGCAATTAGCACAACAGAATTAGTGACACTCTGTTGTCTTATTAAAGAAGCTTCATTTCTCTCTAAATGTCACTGTTTACTGAAGAGGAGAAGCAGGAGGAGGGAGATGGGACTAAGTGTAGCTTCCAATGATGTCAGTGCCTATTTGAAGTTTTGGAGTGCTTTTACCTTTTAACCCCCATTGAAATGCACTGAACTAGAGGGAAGGACAGCATGGAAGACATTAACATTTGGGTTTGACAATAGAGACAATTGCTGTGGCTTAGAAAAGGTGCAATGATCCATAAATGTACAATGAGAATTTAAAAACCTGCTGTACTGAATGAAGTGTGTACTATTCAAAAACTGTTGATCTATGCAAAATTATTAAACAACACATGAGATCTGCCAAGATTTGAGTCCCAGGTGCAGAGCAGCTGCTCTCATTCACTTTCCAGCATGCCATGCAGGGGCGTTCCTGCTAGAGATGATAAGTTTGTTGGGTGCACAGGTTAAAAGAGGAGGACCAGAGAAGGTGGATGTGCTTTCAGGCTCCAGTTTGCTCCTCAGCCTGACATAATTCAGGCTCAGTAATAACCGCTGTGCATTCACAGTGGCTGTGCAGCTGCAAGGATGGGCAGACACTCTGGCATTTCGTTCTCACTGATTCTGCAGAGTGAATGCTGGAAGTGGTTTGGGGCAGCTAATAGCAGTACATGGTTCCTGCCAACATGATTTCTGCTCCATGTGCAAAGACCCTTTACTAATCAGCTGAGCTTTTATCTGCTTTTTTTCCTACAAAAATCTGAGGAATTCTCTCAGAATTAAACATGACCGTTTCTGCTCTTCCCAGTGATTCAGCACCACTTTGTACAGATTACAAATGAAGAGATCATCTTCATTAGGTGAGATCAGTGGCCAGATTAAGATGATATCTTTGGAACATCTTCGCTTGCAGGACCTGGTGGTTGGTCCACCAGGGTTGCCAGCTCCCCTGCATATGAAGAAATGATGCTTGATACCTTTGTCCATTTGCTATGCAAGTTGTTCTCATCCTTCCTCCCGGAGTTTCTGTTGCTTAGGCAGTCTGGTACACAAGTCAGCTTGGCTTCTGCTTGTCACTCGAAGCAGTGCTGCTCCTGGGCTAGCAGCCTTCTCAGCCAGCCATGCTTATCTCTAGA